GCTCGTTAGCCCTGCCTTTGTCTCAGTCAGCTATATATTCTCTCCCTCTGCTGTCACTCCTTGTTGTTTCCTTGTTGTTGCTGGTCCTGTCATTGGTGTTGTCTTCTCACCTCGTCTCTCCCTGGCTCCTCATGCATGTTTTCCCCTGACAAGAAATCACCTCAGCCTCACTGCTCTGCATTCGCGTCCTCTAAACCTCAACCAACCCTGCCATCCCTGTATGCTACAGATTCAAGGACTTTCCTAAACAGCTCACCATAGCTTTTGACCCCACCTGAAAAAGAGTGATCTCAATTTCTGAAACTTTGGCAAGTCAACAGGCAGGCAACTCAATACATGATTGAGCCTTATACCCTTTGTGTTTAAAGTATTCAGATGAGGTGTTATTAACGTTACACCAAGGGATCAACGAGGAGATTGAAGATGAAGTTGCCTTGAGATTTTTCTGAGCGGTTGGTTTATTTAGAGATTCTCTCCGCCAAGATTGCTGTGAGGCTTCATCAGAACGGCACCCACCTTATTTTCATGCAGCCAGACTGCTTCCCACTTCTTCTACTCTAAACCCCTCGACTGACCTGGTGAACTGGAAAGTGCCTTGAGATGACGTGTTGTGAATTGGAGCTATAAAAAAAAAACTGACTGAATTGAATTGATCCTAAGGAGCCTATGAAGACAGGCCAGTCCCGTTTCCCACCACAGGGGTGGGCGCAGATGTTAAGGAGGGGTTTATGTTTTTATTGCACAGTGTTACTACTGAGTGAAAAAGAAAAATCAAATAAATCCTCAGTCTTAACTTTTCTCTAGGCAACAGTTCTACCTGATGGTCATTCTGCTTTGAACTAGCCAGGCCCTTAACATTAATCTATATTCTTCTTCTAAAAGGGACGATGTTTTGGCTATTCTTCATCACGTCCTACACTGCAAACAACGCAAAGATTCATCCCACCAAATTAATTACTGGGGACACCATTGTGACCCATTTTCTATACTAATCATCAAGTTCTAGTTATCATTAAGGTGCCCCCCCAGGGATGGTGTGGTATTGCAAGGACGCCTCTTGACTAGTGTCAGTTCAAAAGATAACTTTTAACAATGAAGAAGAGAATTTTAGAACATTCAAGAAAGCTCAATGTCCACAAAGCTTGATCTCAGGAATATTTATCAGCTTGTTCGTGTCGAGGAGGGAAACGAATGGAAAACATATTTTATTGCACTCACTGGACATTACTAGCATCTTATAAAGATTGTCAACCGGGCAGATGCCTCCTTCGTATTCACACTCTATCCAATGATGTCCACAGAGATATGGTGGCTCATTTCCTGTTTGTGTATTTAGAGAATATTCTCAGCTTCCTGGAAGATTTCATCCCTCACCACCAACACACCTGTTCTGTCACCCTTCGTCTTCTTCAAAACAGATTCCTCATTAAGGCAAAGAAATATACATTTCACAAATCCGCTACATATCAAGCTAGCAAAAATAGATGAAAAGACAACATGATTTACGTCCAGACTGCAAAAAACTGAAATCTAAAGAAGTCGTTTTTTCTTAAAATAAGTGCATTTTGTTCTTGAATTGAGGAGGTAAGGTGAGGCAGACGGGTTAACGTTAGCCCCCACCGCTGCAGACGGGCTAACGTTAGCCCCCACCACTGCAGAAGGGCTAACATTAGCTCTGACCACTGCAGACAGGCTAACGTTAGCCCTGACCGCTGCAGACGGGCTAACGTTAGCCCTGACCATTGCAGAAGGGTTAACGTTAGCCCCCAACGCTGCAGATGGGCTAATGTTAGCCCTGAACACTGCAGACGGGCTAACGTTAGCCCCCACCGCTGCAGATGGGCTAATGTTAGCTCTGACCACTGCAGACAGGCTAACGTTAACCCTGACCGCTGCAGACGGCCACTGCAGATGGGCTAACATTAGTCCTGACCACTGCAGACGGACTAACGTTAACCCTGACCACTGCAGACGGACTAACGTTAACCCTGACCACTGCAGACGGACTAACGTTAACCCTGACCACTGCAGACGGGCTAACGTTAGCCCTGACCACTGCAGACGGGTTAACGTTAGCCCCCACCGCTGCAGACGGGTTAACGTTAGCCCCCTCCGCTGCAGACGGTCTAACATTAGCCCTGACCACTGCAGACGGACTAACGTTAGCCCTGACCACTGCAGACGGGCTAACGTTAGCCCTGACCACTGCAGACGGGTTAACGTTAGCCCTGACCGCTGCAGAAGGGCTAACGTTAGCCCTGACCACTGCAGACGGGCTAACGTTAACCCTGACTGCTGCAGACGGGCTAACGTTAGCCCTGACCACTGCAGACGGGCTAACGTTAGCCCTGACTGCTGCAGACGGGCTAACGTTAGCCATCATCAATGACCCCTCACCCCCCCACCATGGACTGTTCTCCCTGCTGCCCTCTGGGAAGAGGCTTCCCAGCATTCAATGCAGGACCAGCAGGTTCTGCAGCAGCTTCTTCCCCACCGCCATCAGACTGATTAACTATTTAAACTCTAATCAAGACATATTTGCTCTACCAACATTGCTGATTTTTTAAAAATCCCCTTAAATTGAACACAACTCAATGTTCTACTGCATTTTGCACCGAATGTATTTATTTGCAACCTTTTCATATAAATGCTTTTTGCACCAGGATTTTAAACTGGTTTTACTTTTCTCCTACACCGTTTACATGCTGATCACAGAAATGATCATGTTCATTTCACTGTTGTAACCTGCTTATTCATTGTTTGAAGCTGTTTGCATCGAAATTTTGCTTTGTACACACTCTGTGTATACAAAATGACAGTTTGTCAAAGTCTAATTAAATTTTGCAAGTACTCTCTCCCTCTTCTACTCTGCCTTTGTATCCACATCAACATCCATCGATTCTGACATCACTGCATCGTATCAAAAGGGACCGTGCTTTGATATAGGATGTGCTGCTTTGGCTCATGGTTGCCAATGCAGTGCAAATGAATCGGTACTGCTTTCTCTTACAGTACATCAATAACCTGGTAAAAACATAGCAAGTTTAACTTTATTACGAGGTAACAATAAAACCTTCGAGTAAGTGCTGTGCTTCAAATTTTAGGCAGACGAGGTAAAGTCAAACTTCTTAAAATTCAACCGTTATTAGCAGGTAACTCATTCATTTCTCAGACAGCAATAAATTAATGTGTTATTATCTGGTAAAATGGATTTTATTACTTAGTATATAACAGAAAACCAAACCTAGAAGACAGCAAGCCTAATTCCTAAATATTTTCTTATCTATGTCACTT